TTAGTTTTTACACCCAGCTAAGACCCAGCTTTGCTTGGGAAAGATCCAACAAGCTGTTGCTGCGGGATTTGGTATGAGAGATGATGAGAATGTGATCCTTTTTGATATTTTCAGAAAGCATATCTATCCTCATTTGTTACCCACAAGAATCTATTCACCCAAAAAGAAAACCAAGAAAAGCCACCAACTTTCTCTCTGCCTTTCCTCTGGCAGAGCTAGTGTGGTGACCTTGCTTCTATAAAGGGAGAGGGTCCATGGGAGCACCTCCCATGGCAGGTGATGAAGCTGACTAAGAAAATGCGAGGCCTGACTAAGGAAATGTGCACGTCAGGCCTGGAGCCCGGCGGGGATGTGGGAGCTGCCCGGCACAGACAGGCCCTCTGGTGCACAGCCCAGCACACTGGCATCCAACTGCGGAGAACAGCTGGGAAACAGGGAGACAACCTCTCCCTGCCTCTGGCACATTCCAGCAGATGCTTCTTGCACTGAGACACAAGAATAATACACGTTAATGTAAACTGGTTTGGGAAACGAGTCTCAGGGGAATGTGCAGACACTYATGCCTATTATTATAAACATTATTACACAAAAACAAGACGTGGCAATAATGTTTCACATAACATTTTCTTTTTTTTTTTAATCATTCACTTACTCCATTTCCATGGCCCTCAGCTAGTCTTGATCATCCTGCCTAGAATAGTAACACCCTGCAGGTATTACGGTGGTGAAGTTCATTCCAGGACTGACACTGCCCAAGCTGTGGGGAGACTTGTGCAGCTCCACTCTGGGCAGCCCAGGTGACTGCTGTGAATATCAGTATCAAAGACCGTAATAAATATTTGGTACCAACAGTGTTCACCTGCAAGATTCAGGCCATGGTGAAACAGAAGGAGAAGGCCAGAGCCTTTCTTTGTGCATTATTTTGAAGGAAACTTCATCATCCAGTGACTGCTGTGGATGGCTGAGGAATGAGGAAGTCAAGGAAATCCACACACAAAAACACTGACATACATGGAATCTTTAATGGGAGACACTTCTCTTGAACGCTGCAAGTATCCCAATGAAAAACAGATGGCCCAAATGCACATTTCTCCTTGAACAAACTACAGCCATCCCCATACAGGTACTGTACTCATCACCAGTTATTCATTAAGCAGCATCGCCAACATCTGTCACATGGTGTTTGTTCATTCATTACCTGCCCATGGGAGAAGATGTGGGTTGCAGTGGTGTGCAGGTTGATTTGGTAGGGGGTGTTATTTTTGTTGGCTTTTTTTTTTTTTTTTTTTTTAATTTTTTAGTGTTATTGCAGATGGCAGAACAGGCAAGGGCACAAAATGTGTAAATACTTAGGCCAAAAGGTGTGAATGATCATATGGAAAATTCTTGAACTTTCAGCGAAAGGCTCTGAGAAAATTCTGCTCGCTGGGCAGATCAGCCTTATCCTTGTTATACAAGCTGCACTGTACTAAAGAAGGAAAAAAGCTAGTCATGCTGATACACCCATGAGCTTACTCAAAGTTAGGGCTAGATATGTAATAACATTTGAGAGCAATGCTGGAGAGGCAAGAATCTGGATAGATAAGGAAAAGTAGAAGATGCAGAGTTGTCAGGCATTCTCTAAACCACAGCCATCAGCCAGCCAAAAATAAAGACTTCCAAGAGAAAAATGGCTCAGGCTTGAAGAGATATAATTGTTTCTCAGTACAATATGGACCCTTTGCCACTACATGACAGGTTTCCTTCAGACAAATAATGTCTTCTATTTGCTCCATCTAAAACATTTTTTGACATTTACTCATTCATTTCAGACTGTTCTAGGAAACATCTGTACAGCAAATGTGTCTTAGGCTTGGCTGAAAGAGATTTCCTTTTGGACTGGACAGCCTGAAATAATGACCTATGCAAATAATACAAATGATTGATACTAGTGGTATTGCTCATCACAGTGCTATCTGCTGTTTCTCTTCTGATTTTTAATGGGATTTTAAAGCCTTTGAGTGAATAACCCTGGCCTTTTCATTAATTCAGCCAGCATGAAAAGCTGAGGGGCCTCTGTGGCAGGTGCTGTGGGTTAACAATAGGGGTACTGTTTAATCCAAGGGAAACAGAGGGTAGAAAAGGGCCATGAATAAAAGGATATGGGAACTTTTATGAGGTCAGGAGAGGCACTTTAAATCAGGAGGTGCAAAGAGAGGCCAGCTATAGAAAACAAATTCTTTCTTGCCACACGTAATTGGACAGCAGCATGAAAATACTCCTTGTAGTTTGTTCTGCAAAAGATAAAGAAATCAAAGTAAAATACCTAAATACCATAGGTTTGATGATATTCAGAGGATCCCTTTTACTTCTAGGGGCAGCTACCTTTAGTTCACTAGGAAATAAACTGTTGTCCTACGTGATATTCCTTACCAGGCTTGTCTCTCTGAAACTCAGAGGGACACCGGGAAACAGTCTAACAAGTGCAATAGCATTTCAACACAAGGAAAAATAGTATATGATTTACAGGTTTGTTTTTAAACAGAGACTGACTCAGTTACTGAAAGCACTAATTAAGCAATCAGTGATTGAGAGCTTAGAATAGAAAGTAGAAATGTTCTGTCAAAATTGCAAACAAACTTTCTATAAAATGCCTGAAAGTGTATTTGCTCTTATCTGCAGCTATATAATTGCAGCAGGTTATGGTCATTTGTGTCATTCCTTGTCCCTTTAAGATAGTGTTTCACTGGCATAAATGGGCCTTTAGAGAGTCAGAGACAGATGGAAGAGTACAGTTTCAAAGACGCAATCAAATACCTTACAGTTAAGAAGCACAGATGTTCAGGGTCAGGAACACACAAATATAATACTGCTGTAACATGTCGAACTACTGATCCCACTATTGGAATACCCTAACCAGTTGCAGGTGAAGGAGAAGATGGAAGAAGAAAGCACTAAAAGGAAAATTTTATCAGAGTTCACCTACGAGAAAGTCCTCTCTTGAGTGTCTCTCGGTCACTTGTCATTTGTATTTATATACCTTCCAATTTTTAACTTTATTTTTAAAGCCTTAAGTGAGACAACAGTGCACGTTAACATTATTTGCTTGTATGGCCAATGGTTTTTGCATTCCACTAAGGTCCTGCACCAGGTGATAACATCAGAGAATAAATTCCATGTGGTAATTATGCATCATGAAATTCTTCCTTTCCTTTTAATTAATTTTAAATGTTCTGTCTTACAGCTGCGTGGAACACACCTCTTTTTGCTTGACAGCAACAAGCAAACAGCGGTTACTGTAGTTTGTCTACGTCATCTGTTATTTTCAAATGTTTATGTCCCCTCCTGCTTGATCTCTTCTCTAGCACATATAAATGCTATTTTCCAACTCCTGCAGTTTGCTAATCCTTCCCTTTTTTTAACGGTGTCTTTACATAACTGGGAATTCCCACGTGAAGGCAGTGATGCTGATCACGTAACATGCTTGTGGATTTTGCGGTTTCTCCTGCTTTTAAGCTGCCAGGAGCCTCCTGCAGATGTATTTGCAGTGAGCACTATGTGAGCTAGTAGGAAGGGCTGCTTAAGGGCCAAGTAATTTTCCATGGGCAATCTCACAAAAGCACCCATTTGGCATGGTTCAAAGATTTACAGAAAGGTGTCTCCAGGTATCTCCTCACCAAGGCAGCTCCCTTGGCTTCTATATGCTCTCCTTTATTTCTTCTTTTGCTTATGTGTGTATTTTCTACCTGTTTCCTTCTTCTTTCTCTTGTTGTTTCTCTATGCCAGCTCTACCTGTGCACCCCAAAACTGTAACATCGACACAGGCGATGCAGACAACTCGGTATTTTTGACACATCTTTTTTGATGGGAAGTGTTGGAGGAGACAAATTATTCCCTTGGCATGGGTGTTCCTGCCAGGAGCTGCATGCGTGCACGCCGAGAGCCCTGTGCCGCGAGCCTGGTATGCACAGGGATAGGGACACATCCTGCCACTGCCCCGATCCGCCGAGCCCCATTCCCTGCCCTGTTCGTGAAGAACTGCCGGGCTGCCTTGTGCCGTGCAGGAGCCCGGCAAAGGAGCGCGCCCCTGAAACCTGCGGCCTGCGGCTCTGAGGGGAGGACAAGCCGCACGGCTCCAGCCCCGAGGGCTTCGAGCATCCTGTGGGAAATCACTGGCAGGGGTCTGCACGCAAACACGGCAACGTGTTGCTTATGGATCGTACACAGCACACGAGGGACGGGGGACACTTGAGGCATCTGGCATCCCAAAGAAGGGGCCAAACCCACCCGTACCCCATCCCACCCCTCTCCCGCCTTCCCTTCGGCACTTTCCCGGGTGCAGGGGAAAAACGGGCTCCCCTTCACACCCCCGTCGGGGCACGGGCAGGGCCGCCCCGTCCCGTGGCGTTGCGGGACTC